GTTGTTTTGTTGTAAATGCACTATCCTGGCTGATGGGATAGACGCAAAAAGCCATCAAGGCTTCCCGAGCCGGAATGTATATGAAGCGCCAGTGAAGAATACCAGCATAGTTGTATGAACATGGCAGTGCGGTGGTAAGGTAGTCCTAGCCCTCGAGCCAAAGCGAAGCCGCCAAAGCGAAAACCAGGATGAGAAGCCATACAAACAGCCTCAGACGTGAAAGCTACGGTCAGCGGAAAAGGCAGGCACAGTGTCATGTGCTGACGGCATTGGTTGAGGAATGTCGTTTCTCTGATGCCCAAAACCCGGGTTTCAGACCTATAAACTTGTAAACTTGCCTCTGCGGTCCATGGTAAGGCCTAACATGCGCTTTTAACTTTCACGTCTAGATGTACGAAAGCATACCCATGTGCACCCCCGTAAACAATGTCCCTTGCTTCGCTAAATGCCCACATTTACTCTAGGGGCCCGCTGTCCCAACTTTTGCTGTTTGCCCTGCACCCAAACACGTCCAAGTCTGAGCACTGAATTTTGCATACGCTTTGCTAAAGGTCCATAAATCCCAAGCCTCACATCCGAGGAACGCTTCAGGGAACTTTGGCTTGCCGCTGACAGCAACGAGGCAGTGGAGGTTCCAAACACAATGCTCCCTGATATGAAAGGACCATTTTTTCAATACTCATGAACCAGATGGCAACCGGCGATATTGTCAGTATACTACTGACGTTTAGCACCTCGAACTTAGAGTTGCGGTTTCCAGTACATTCCATTTTTGCCCTGGTCCATCTGTTTCAAGGCATGCGAGGCTTGGGGGAGGTAAATGCACCTTTAACCCCTCCCCTTAAAAACCTAATGCTTTTTGGGGTTCGGGTTCATTGTGCTATCCCTGTCGTTTTGGAATGCAGGACTTCTGTCTACATGGGCCCTGAAATGGTTTCCACTTGTCAAGTCTTGAAAAAAGAGAGAGTATGGCCTGAATCGAGGAGCGAGGTAATTTCGTCAGGCCTTGCAACTTTACAGTTACAGCCTGTTATAGCGCGCGATGAAATTGCGTGCCGAGCCCTTTTTGAAGTTGTGTGATTCTCAGACACGCATGGATTGTGAACTGCTGTATTATTCCCTTATCCTTTTGCAATTGCATCATAATTGCCCCCAACACGCCAATCTGATGCAATAGGCCCGTACTGCACTTTAGCTTTAGGTCTTTCTCTGTTCTAAACTCTAAACCCTGAACCCCACCCAAGCACATGATTTCCACCTCAGGCCTCACGGCATTCCCTCAACCCTAAACCGCGTGTGAGCTGTTCCTAGGTTGCAATCTATGGAGCCCCTGGAGGACACCGTAGTTTCTACGCAAAAGAAGGTTATAGGATTTCTGGGGTTTAGGCTTTAGAAAGCTTTAGGCTACCGTGTTTGGAGTGTTAATGGAGTTTGGGCTTCAGGGTTTTCAAGGGGTTAGGCTTTGGAGCTTATGCCCTTCAGGGTTTATAGAGTTCAGAGTTTCTGGCGTTTAGGTTATGGGAAGTTTTGGCTTAGTTGGTCTTGCTACTCCCTGAAAGCTCGGCACTCTCCCCTCCCTCCCTCCCCTCCTTCCCTCCCTCCCTTTGTTTCTACACAGGTCCATGCCTTGGAAAAGGGAAAGAGAGAGAGAGAGAGAGGCAACAAGTTTGGTGCAGCCTGCAGGCTCCTAGCTGCGCCGCATCGTATGACGCTTGCATGTGGGTAACTGTTGAAATCGGTGCCTAAAATGCAGAGCGCAGTAGGTATGCAACAGGAAGGATGCCCAATAGGGACATCACTTTGATGCGATTCTACTGTGGATGCTTAGGCGCTGCACTGCTACACATCTTGCTTTGATAATGTGGGCTGCGAACATGAGACGGGGCCCTGTGCTTGTCTATGCCTTTGGACATGTGCATGATCTCGCAATCTCGTTGCACCCTCCATTCGGGACTTGAGACGTCTCGACTCCACGTTACAATCCAGGGCCCCAGCACGCGAACACACAGATTGGATTGAGGTTGAGGATGTTAATTAAAGCTACCATAGCGAGGGAACCCTGTGATCACCTGTGTACGCATGTTTTAGTACAATCTCCACGCACGCCCTGCTTTTAAAACCCGGCAACCTCTTAGAATTCCTGAAGCTCAAAGCAAGCCAGCAAAACACCGCAGGATCGCCGCATACAAGTGCTCGCGGGTGCTCCAGGTGTAGCTTGATTTTCACGGGTAAGCAGAAGTGTGCTGTCTAGTATAGGGTTAACAGTTCAGAAGATCTGTTTTTGTTAGCCCCTGCGCCCTGAATGGAGGTGCTTCCTCTGGCGTTCCTTACAGGGTGTTGCCCTCAAGTTACATAACTTAGAAAATTTCTTTTGCAACGGAGAAGAACCTGTCAAACCAAATCAAGGGCTTGAACAGGAAAGCCTAACCGGAAATCCACCCTGATGTTTCTGTTTGAGAAGTATGCTCCAATGCCTGACCAGGTACGTGAGGGGCCTTGGGTAAACCTTGAACTTTCAACTAGTCTGGGCCGTATAGGCCTTGCTGCTGGGGTTTGCAACATACAGAAGCAAAGGACAGAATCCTAAAAAGGTAACTTACCCGGGGCTGTCTCGATAGACCTGAAAGTTATCATTCCTTAGGAGGTTCTATGGAAATTCGAAAATAGGAAGTATTGTATACTCGAAGCCGTCAACCCTAAAGCCTAATTATGCCCCTATTTTACTTGCTCAGGCACCTGCGTTAGGTCACCTTACGCCCTAAACCCTAATCAGCCAAGGTCATCTTTGTATTCAAGCCGGCGGGCTGGACTACAGATGAGCTGGTACGAAACCTGGCTGCACCTTTCGGGAGATTCATGTAGCCCCATGATAGTAGTTTCCATGTCATTTTCCGTTATGCCTATATAACCCCAATATACTATAGTAGTTTCCAGGTTCAGGGTGTGCAGGGTTAAAGGCAATTCTGGATTCAACCTTCTGACATCTTCCGAGCCGGGTGTGTAAAGCGCTTGGCGTAGCGTATGCCGAAGTTTGCCCGGGTTGGGCCTCACTTTCAATGGTCCTTGGGCGTGCTGAGCTTGCCTGCGCTTGCAAGAAGCTTAGGGCTTGACGGCTTAGGGCCTAGGGAATCAGGTTGTAGCGCGGTTTCGGACGTTAGCTGGGTGCTTTCTATGCACAAGCATGTACATCCAGGAACATTTGTCCCTCCCGATCTTTTTTCATTCAAGAAAACAAAAAGAAGTAAGCTACCCCCCAAACCCATTTCAGTTGTGGGTTTTCGTAATCACGGTTATGGAAAGCGGGGGCTACAGTAGGTTCTGAAGGTAACAGATACACGGATTGAGCTTGATTCAAGCTCACGGGTTTACGGGCTTGGCTTCAGATGGAGGTTGGGAACCAAGGCCCCGAACAACTTGGAACCAGATTCGGGATACATTCTATTACGTTTGTACGAGGACCCTCCTTGTACCCTTAACTGGGGATATATGGTCCCTAATAGTGGGTACTTAGGCCCTAATTGAGGGTAGGAGGAGGGTCTAGGTAAATGAAAGTCATTCAATGTGGTTATTGACGCGGAATCGCACCTAAACTCTGGACCCACAGGCGGCCCACAAAACAGGAAGCCCAACAACTGGAGCCCGGCAATTTTCATGTAATCGGTTACCATTATTGTTGGTCGTACTTTTTATTGTCATCATAAGCCGCATCATCATGATCATCATTCTTATTATTGTTACTATTTTACTGTACTATTGTTGTCTGGCATTCCCTGCCTTGAGGCGAAGTTCGCCGTTGGCTTGTCGATCTTGTTCCAGCTGTGCCCTCTCATCTGCATGTAGTTTCACGACTGGAGACTTGGAAGAATTTGCGGTAGTCTGCAATAGGCTGGCAGTGATGCTCAAGGAAGCGGGGAAGATGTTTGAAGACGCAAAAGTGAGGTTTTTGCCCAGATGGGTGGGAAATGATCTTCACGTTGCACGACCGTGTGGACGACAATGTTGTTCTAAGATTCGTAATATGCTCCTCATACCCCGCGAACCCCCATAATGAAACTTGCCCGTGCCCGCACACGTTCCTTCTCAGGGAGCTTCCTCTACTTGCTGGGTCCCCGTCCTTTGGGATAGTGGTTAACGAATATTGCTCAGAAGCCAAGCCCAGCACATTGCCGATCGGGCCCTTTAGCAATGTGGAACCAATTCGGGAATGCACTTTGTGGGGCAGTTTTAAACTCATCCTTGGAGATGCCCCCGAAAGCTGAGACCGCTTGAAAGCATGTTGCTTCTTGAGGGGTGCTTCGGAAGGTGGAAGAGATTCGGAAACTTTTGCTCTGTTTGCTTGTCCGCAAGAGTGCGGAAGGGACAGGGTGCAGTTGAAAGCATCATGACCTGGTGTTGAGAATATACCAAGAGACGCGCGCTGGATGGGGCATTCAACGCTATCTTGTAAGCTGCCTAAACCGAAACTTACACAACATAACCCGGAGGGTCATCACACAATGGGTTCGAAATCTCTTTAGAGATAGTCTGCCTTCAGTAACTTTGAACTATCAGCTGAGGAGGATAATGCTGCGTAGGGCCCCAGAGGCCCTGCAAAAGCAGATTTCGCCCGCCAGGCCCCCCTACTCCCCTCCTCCCCCTTGAGCGCCTTCAGGTCTGCACGAAATGGTATCAAGTGATTGGTGCAATGCTTACGGGCTCCAGGAGGGCGATCCCATGAGCCCGGAAGCGAACAAATTGCAAATGTAGCAGGATAAAGCCTACAAGTGCAGAGTTGCTACTCATAGAAACCCTGGGTAGGCCCCTGGGATATTTAATATTTTCCCTAGAAGCCTTAATAGGGGACCCTATATACT